TAGAACCTTCCTGGGGTGACGGTGCACCGGAATGCAGCACCCGTGATCACAATCTAGAACCTTCCTGGGGTGACGGTGCACCGGAATGCAGCACCTGTGACCATGATCTAGAACCTTCCTGGGGTGACAGTGCGCCAGAACTCAGCACCCGTGATCACGATCTAGAACTTTCCTGGGGTGATGGTGCACCGGAAACGCAGCACCCGTGATCACGATCTAGAACCTTCCTGGGGTGACGGTGCACCGGAATGCAGCACCTGTGATCATGATCTAGAACCTTCCCCAAGCAATCCGCCCAGCCAGTGAGTGAATCACAGAGACCAACTTGCTTTCTACAACACAGCCACTCTGGGACCGGCTGTCTGTCCACGTCTCAACACACGATGGTACACACAAATGCCCAGAGTGTTTGCCACAGCTCTGCTCACAAATGTCAGAGCCCGTCGGCCAGCAAGCTGTCCTTAAACATATGGATATACAAACACAAACCGTGTCCACGCAATGGATGGATTATTCAGTGGGAAGAAGAATGGATTCTCAAGTCATGAGAAGCCCTGGTGTTGTGTGTCATAGAGTCGGAAATGACCCACAGCGGACCCTCCAGTGGGTTTTCAGAGGTAGTTAATCGCATGGGAGGTGACTGTCCATCCTTCTCCAAGGGAGTAGCTGGTGGCCTCGAACCCCCGTACCTGCAGCTTCTTGCCACTAGGCCACCAAGAGCTCCCTTGAGAAGCCCTAGAGGAAACACAAACACAAAGCAACCGAAGCCAAGGACAAAGGCTGACGATTCCAACTACATGAAGTTTGAAAAGCAGGACCGTAGTGCCCAAGTGGGCACAGAGATGCTTGTACCCCATGTTCATCCAGCATTCTTCACCAGAGACAACGCAGAGCCAGCCAGAGGGGAATGTGGTTTGTCCAAGCTGCTGTCCTGAGGGGCTGCTGAGTGGATTCAAACTCACAGCAATCCCAAGTGACAGAAAGGGAGCTGCCCCAGAGGACTTTCTGGGCTATAAAGACAGCATTCTCCTGTGAGATGTACAGCCTTGGAGATGGGATGGAGGGTCAGGTAGGAACTGGTCCTGACTCTACCGCAAGGAGGTTGTCTTTCTTCCAAAGAGCTGATGTCTGAATTCCAACCTTCTTGTCTCTGCAGACACTTTCAGTTTTTAGGTCATGGTTTAAGGGTAATTTACAGCTCTCACCTTAAAGTCAGCCTCTTCCACACTCCTTTCTTTAACTCTCCCCTTCAAAACACTTGTCTAATACTTAAATCTGCCAACAATGATCTCTATTATAACTTAATCCAAACTCACGGTTTAGTTCTGATCTTGCTTGACATCTTGGCGTTTGACACGGAGGACAAACTCTGGTGCAAACACTCTAGAAGCCTGGCTTGGGCAGCTTCTCTGGTTGCTGCTTCTTCACGGGCCAGGTCCTCTCCCTGGGCTGTCTCACGCTGGAGCGATCGAACCGCCGAGCTCTTCACTTCTTGTGCATCATTCATTCCCTTCCATCCTGCAATGACCCTGACTCTTAAATCTCTTCACACTTCTCATCTCCCTCTCGCTCTAACTCAAGTACTTTAATGTCAATGTCTCGAGATCAGCTCTGTCTTCTCTATCTCAAATCAGCTGCTCCTCCCACACATAGCCGGTGCCCCACTCATCGGCCGGGAAGCCTGCCAGGGTGAAGGGGTGGGAGGGGCGCCCCGAGTCCTCCGTCCTTTTACCCCTCCCCCACACCCAATTCACACCCAGACATGTCAGATGTAACTCCACACCCCTCTCCATGGCCACTGTGACAATATGAACTATAGGCATCTCCCCAGAAGTCCTGTTAAGAGCATCTCCCAATGCTGCAACTCCAACCTCCTTACTACTATGGAGCCCAAGGGACCAGTGTAACAAGTTTGCCCCAGGAAGGCCACAGGGGAACAAGAGGGAATGTACTTTCTGCATAATTTCCCTCCTAAACACTTTGGAACTCTCCTAAAAAATGCACACGAACAAAGACAAGAGATGCCAACATGTAAATGCAAAATAAATGCACAACTTGCAAGGCTTCATGCAAGGGACATTCACAAAGGCCGGGGTGCTGCCTCCTGTGGTCCAGGACTAGTCGCTGAAGGAGCTGATAAGGCAGCCTGGTGGGCACGCGATCACCGTGCTTTCTTTCATGGTTTAATCTCCCAGACTGGTACACGTGAGAATAAAGAGCTGACCACTGAAGACATTATCATTCCAGCTGTCCTTACCCTGCTGAAAGCACCGTCTAGCTGGCTAATATTTTACATCCCAGTTAATCAGGCTTGGCAATGAACACACACTTCCTTTTGTTCTTCTCAAATCAGTTCTGCCCTGATTGACACAACGCTTGGCTGAGAGGTGGATGGGATGCACAAGGCAGAAAATGCCTTGGACTGTGGAAAGATGTTGGGGAGCACAGACAAAAGGCAGGTGGACAGAAAAACCGACTCTGGCCTTCACTCCATGCTAGCTCCACTGTGCTCCCCAGCCTGGGAGCTGGCCACCAAGCTGGCTCTCCTGTGGGAAAGAAGTTTATCTCGGCGTGCTGGCTGCCATCACTTCTATTCTCGGCTGGGGCCACATCCTGCCAAGGGGGCGAGAACTGAAGAGAAGGAGAGCAAGTGTAAAAAGCCTAGCTCCAATAAAGGTTAGAGAGTTTCCACACCGAGAGGCTCCCCGGAAGAAAGGGCTGGCAATCTCCTTGCACAAAGATTAGAGCCTGGAAGACAATGCCGTCACACCAGGGGCATCAAACCACCACCACATGAACAGACAGACAACACATCATGGTTTTAAAATGCCATGGATTGAGAAAGGCATTAGGAAGAAATGTCTCAAAAGGCTCCAGTGTTGGGGAATGATGTGGAAGACTGATAATGGAAAAATACAGAACAAAAACCAGGGTTCCACCGACATTTCTAGAGTCCGTGTGTATGTGAGTGCCCCTGGTTCTAGGCACCACCTATGACGTATGACCAGTGGTTGTTCACAGCACTCATTAGCTACAGGACAGAGCCAGCGTCTGGAGCGAGGGGTTTTGGCGGCTCCTGGCAGCCGAGTCCATAAGGAGTCGCACTGCTAACCCCAAGGGTGCACGTCTCTGGCGGTTCAAATCCACCACCAGCAATCCTGGGGAAGAGAGACAGGCAAGCGCCTCCAATGCCAGCAACAGCCCCGGAAACTCAAGAGGGTCAGTCAGGACGAGACGGTTCTGAATCAACAGTAATGAGAGACAGGTAAGAAGAGGATGGTGGCAGGTGACAGCTACTGGGGACACGGAGCTGCTAGGAAGAGCCCTGCTGAGTTGCATCAAGTCCAGAGCAGAAAGGTCTCCCATATGTCCACAGAAGACAACTTACTGTCTATTCACAGCCACCCAACAGCCCTGCAGCAGAAAGGCCTGGTGGCCACTTCCATAAAATTTACAGACAACAATGGGATCACCCTGCATGGGCATCAAGTCCACAGAAACAGTTCTGGACATGTAAATGCCCACTCCTTACTTACCAAAGGGCAGTGGTTTTCAAATGACACATCACAGGATTCATTTCTGAAGTCATTATGGCCTCAGAAATATATAAGATAGTCAAGTACCATTTTGTGCAACTTTGTTTTCTCATAGATCCGGTGCCCAGTGAGAGTGCAGTATCTGCTAATACCAGGATACACTTCTCACTGTCTCTTACGGTGAACAAGGGTGACAGGTGGAACTGAGCTGCACCCTGGGGCCCTAATTCAATTACACACAGCCACAACTAGACTGCAGAAGAAACACAGACGGCTCGTCCTGGCCAAGAAAAACTTGAGGCTTAGCCGCTTTGTTGTGTCTGTTGTCCAGCGGCAGGTGTTAGGGGGAGGGGCAGCGGTCCTCCGTCCTGCTTGAGCCCATTTCACAGCTGGCTGCTCAGTTCTGCTTTTCCTTCCCAGTCTGGTGTCGGCACCCACCGCCCATTCGTTCCCAGGGCTGTGGAATGTAACACAAGCAGTGTAAGACCCTGAGCATTTGAAGAGTGGTTTTCCCTCACCCCGCCTCTCCAAAGGCCATCTTGCCATGTGCGTGTGCCCTCAATCTGAGATATTCTGATGATTCTTTATTCTCAACCACTTTTGTGAGGCACGTAAGCAACGTTAGTGGGTTAAATGTTCTTCTAGAGAAAGTGAAGCAGTCTGGTGACCTAGTGGTAAGAAAGTGCCCTGCAATCTCAAAGGTACATGGTTTGAATCCACAGGAGAAGGATAGACAATCTCCTCCCCACAATTTACTGCCTCTGAAAACCCACTGGAGGGTCAGCTATGAGTTGGTTCTGACTCGACAGCACACAACTGTTAAGATTTACACCCTCAGACTATGACCAGGGGTCGCCCTGAGTCGGAATGGACTCTCCGCAGTGGGTGGGTTTCTGTTTTCGTTGTTGCTATGTGCTGTTGAATCATAACTGACCTTCCAGAGGTCTTAAATTGCACAGAAGACTGTCCATCTTTCTGCCATGGGGCGGCTGGTAAATTTGAACCACAAGGCTTTGGGATTGCAGCGCAGCTTCTTACCCCTAGGCCACCAGAGCTCTCTTTGTTTTGATTAGAGTCTCAGAGTGGCCCACACTGTCTGCTCTGGGCACCTGGGTGTCTGCTGCTCTGCTCTAAGGTTCACAGTCAAGAAAACCTTAACACTTGGGTTTTTTCAGCAGCACACGTGGCCACCTTGAGCTCGGACACAGGGGAGGCCCGCCAGTGACAGCAGTACAGGAGATGTTAACACTGAAGCTGGTCACCAGGAGGGGGCACCCCAGGACACCCAGATTCTCAGGGATGCCCTCGAAGCAGGATCCCTGCAAGCCACAGACCACATCCCTGGGCCGAGGCACCGGCTTGCTAGCCCAATGGTCTGAGGGGGTGGCCTGTGGGCCACTCGGTGGAAGGAAGGCTCCGCTTCCCGCAGAAGAGTCTGGACCTGGAAACCCTTTAACTCAGTTGCCAAGAGTCTGAACAAGCCCAAGGGAGTGGACCTGGTTTAAATTTTCCAAATTCTAGGAAGCTGTGGTGGCTTTATGGTAATGCATTGAGCTGCCGATGCTTCCAATTCACCAGCTGCTCCTGGGAGAAGGATGGTCCCCAGAGATTTACTGCCTCTGAAAACCCTCTTGGAGGGTCAGCGATGGGTCGTTCTGACTAGAGGGTACACAACAGACAACAGGTGGCCGTGAACGGCTTGCTCTCAAGTGCAGTAACAACAGATCACCGATAATTGGGAGGGAAGGCCAGGTCGCTCCTACACCAGGCTGTCCCCCTCGAGGTACCCCATGGCCTGGGGTGGTGAGTTGGGGTCAGCGTCCCATTAACTCCGAGGCCTCCCTCCCCACCACGGTGGTTGGAGTCCCACTTTCCCCTCCTGGTCGGGGTGGCAGAATCCAAGATCTATCTACTCCCTGGGAACCCCATTCGCAGTGAACCCCAGTCCCCGCTGGGATGCGGGCCCCACTCCCCACTTTGATCCAAGCCACGCTCGCCCTCTACCCCCAGTGACCAAGGGGCCCCGCTGGGATCCCACCCCGATGTGTCCGCAGGACGAGGTGGCAGTTAGAGCCCCTTTCCCCCGAGGCCGGCGCCCTGCCTGCCCCCCGGGCCGGTGGTCCGAGCCCCCGAAACCCCCGGGGCCACTTCACTGCGGGTGCAGCCAGCTCGGGACGCACGTCCCCGGGTCCGCCAACCGGGAGTGCCGGCGGCCCGGCAGGACTGACCCTGGAGACCCCTGCCCTCCACGCCTCGGTGCGGGTCCCCCGGCTCGGGCGATCGCTGGGGAGCGGGGCCGGAGCACGCGGAGCAGGGGCCGGAGCACGGGGGGCCGGGAGCGGGGTCGAGCCGGGAGGCCAGCGCGAGGCGCCCAGGCCCAGCACCCGCAGCGGGGTCGCGCAGGGTCATTTGAGCCCCTCGCGGCTGCGGGAAGTCCGGCACCTACCTTCCACGTGCCCAGCCCCAAAATGGGCATCTTGGCGCCGGTGTTGAGCTCGAGGAAATTAGCCATGATGAGATTCTCAACGATCACTCTCAAGACTCCAGAAGAAGTGGCGAACGTGCGCGCGTGCGCCTTTAAATAGCCCCTGCAGCCGGCGAGGAGGACGCCTGTGGTTGGCGCGCGCTTGAGAGAACGCGGCTTCTCATTGGCCAGTCCGACTCCCGGAGCCCGCCGCCTCAACTTTCCACTGCGCTCCGCTAGGCAGTATCTCCCGCGAGGTCCTAGCGGGATTCTCTCCGCCCCGCACTGCCCCCCAGGCCACTGCTCACGTGTTAGAATGCCCGTTGCTCGCGTGGAGATACCTAGAAATAGTAGCGGCATCGCAGACATCGGTAGAATATGGAGGGCTTTGGGATGTACTAATTTTTCTTCTTTAAACATATCATTTTACTTCTGTTGCTACTGAGTGTACACAGCCCAAAAGGCACCAGCAGTTTCTCCACGTGCAATTTACTCATGTTGGTTGGTTAGTCCTTCAACGTGCCTGGCGCACTTTTTAAGGGCTCAGAAAACTATGTCCACTGCCGAAGTCCAGGATGCTGTGTATTTTCTCGGGGTACAAATCACGCTGATGCACGTGATGTACGAAAACGTGCACTTTGAATTTGGACAAATGTGTGTGCCAGAGAAATAAATGCCTTGCACCATATTTGGTTATTATTTTTTTATTGGTATTTTAACGGAAGTTTACAGAAAACTTGAATTTCCATTCATTAATTGTTGCACATCCTCGTCCCATGAACCATTTTTTAATGTTATATGGCGGTTGGTTGAAGTTTACAAAGCAAATTGGTTTCTCATTTAACACTTCTTACATAGTTCATCATATTAGTTGCAATTCCTCTGCTCAAGGGACTCTTTTCAACCCTTCCCTGAGTCTCTGAGCTTCCCTTTGTCCTTTTCTCCCTGCCATTTCTTATCTCCTGAGCTTTGCTTTGGGGCACATTCTGGTCTTTTTGTCACACATGGTTGATTGTCCTGATGGTTGTGCTCTGAGTGTTCACTATATGGAGCCAGTGAAAGGTGATAACCCCACTGTACCTCATCCCCTGGGGGTAGGGAGCAGGGTAGGTGTGTTCATTTTCAGGTCCGAGGGTGTCTAAGAGTCATAGTCTAAAAGTTTCCACCAGCATCAATCTGACCAGTAAGCCTGGCATTTTTAAATGATTTTTTCAGTCTGGTTCCTCTCTGTTCACACCTCCTGTTATGTTCCTGGCTGGAGCTGTTGGTGATGTTAGCCGGGCACCATCTAGATTTTCTGGTCTCAGGCTAGTAGAGGCTGCTGTTTGTAAGACCCGTGTGTCCTCTGGCTTGTTTTCCTTATTTGTTTCAGATGGGAAGAGACTGACAGTGGTTAACTAAGACTCCATTGTTACTTGCCAAAACAGGGTTAGAACATCGGTTTCCCCCACCTTTCTTATCATTTTTTTAAAATTGTGATTTTAATAAACATTTACAGAAGAGTTGAATTTTCTTTTTTTTTACACATTCCTTTTTTTAAATATATAAAAAATGTATCCAAGGCAACATTATTAAAATGATTATACCAGAGTCCCTATTATAACATCAGGTCTAACAGGAAGGGCAGGCGAGGGCAGGAAGGCTGCATCCAGTCCGTGGTTTCAGTGCTCTTCTTCTCTTCCCCCAGTAGATTCACAGTGGCTTTCTTGGCTTCTTTAGTGATGGTTTCTGCAATCTCTTTGGCTTTGTCTTTCAGATCCTTCATCACACTATCTACCTGGTTCTCACGCTTGGGGAAGAAAGGGCGGATGATGCGCCTGCGGAGCAGTTCCGCCCCGTTGGAAGGGCTTGGAGCCATGCACCACCACAAGAAGCCACACTTCAGCACGTAGTAAAAAGGAAACCATGACAGGAAGAGATCCGAGAAAAATTCAGCAATGCCACTACCCAGTAGGTCAGCCGCTGTGTATCATCCTCTTTGACTCTCTATGGCTTTAATCGAGATGTAGGCTGGGTAGTCAAGTCCGATCAGGTTGCAAAGGAGGGCGGATCCATAACCGAACACCAGGCACAAAACCACCAGCCCGATGACACCAAGTGCGATGTAGCTCCAGTTCACGCCGGTCTTGGCCTCGAGCTTGGCCAGCAGGTCGGTCATGCAGTTCTTTTCGTGCAGAAACCGGTCGAACCTCATGGCCGCAGACACGGCAAAACCGTGGCGCCGCTGCCAGAGGCTGCTTGCTGGTAGTCAAAAGTTGCATTTTCATTCATTCATTGTTGCACATTTTCCTGCTAGGACATTGTTTTATGGGCTATGTTATGCCATTTGATTAAGTTACTCCCCCCGCCTTAGCTTTTCCTGTGTAAACATTTTCCTACCATCGGGATGGTTGTAATCACAGACACATTTTCCAGCCACCCCAGACTCCACCAGCCCCATAACTCCTCAGCCTGTGGGAAGTTGTGGGTGGTGAAAAAGTAGGCTGAGAAAATGCTTCTATATTTGGCAGATATGATATACTTGCTGCCCAGGGGAAACTTGCCAGATGATCACAAATATTTGGTGGCCACTAAGAAGTTTTCCTGATTGTGCCACCATGTGCTTTATTATAATAAAACCCCTCCAAATCCAAACCCACTGGCAGAGAACTGATTCCATCTCATGAAGCCCCTCCCTCAGGCTTCTGAGGCGGTAAAGCTTTGTAAGAGAAGACTTATCTTTTTGAAGGTGTAGCTGCTGGATTTGAACCACTAACCTTTTGGTTAGCAGCCCAACACTTCATGTATTCAACCACCAGGCTGCCTTATGATTTCCTATATGTGTGGATGTGTTTGCTTTGCACTCTTCTTGAATGCTTTTACCTGATTTGGGTTTGCCCAGGCAGTCTCACGCTGGCCATCCTGGGGACCAGCTGCAGCTGCATACCTGGGTATTATTCCCAGTGCTTCCTAAAAAAGCCACTGTCTCTTGAGGTCTGGAAGTCCTGGTGAGCTTGATCAGAAGGCACTCAAGACATTTGCCTTTACTCTTCTAACAGGGCAAGTCACGGCAAGGTGGTAGTTGCCAGTTAATGTGGAGTCAGTTCTGACCCGCAGTGACCCCGTGTGTGCTCAGTAGAACTGCTCCCTGGCGTTTCCACGACTGTGACCTTTCTCTCTTTATTTAAAATTTACTTTCTTTTATTATATTTTTGTGTGTGTACCATCAAATCGGATCTGACTGGTACAGGAGGAGATTGTCCTTCCTTCTCCAGCAGAGCATCTGGTGGATTTGAACCATGCACCTCTGGGATTGCAGTGCAGCTTCCTGCCACTAGGCCTCCAGAGCTCCCAACTGTGACCTTTCTGAAGCCATGACAAGGACTTTCATTGGAGGCTCATCTGACTGGGGTCGAGCCTCCAACCCTTTTGCTAGTCATTGAGCCAACTAACCATTAGTGCAGGGACTATAGAGAAACTCTCTGGGAATCAAATGAACACAGGAGGGAGAGTTAAAAACTAAACCCATATAAGAAAAGTTAGCTGTAATATTGTCATATCAAGTATTTTAAATTGCTGCTGCTTTTGTTGTTAGTTGCCATCAAGTCAGCTATGACACGAAGCAACCTGGTCTACTTCCCACTGCTACAGAGTCAGTTCTGATTCATTAAGACCCTATGTTGTGTCTCCCAGAAGGCTGCCCATCTTTTTCCTACCTAGAGGCTGGTGGATTTGAACTGCAACCTTTCAGTTAATGGCCTGACACAACCCTACCAGCACTCCTCAAGCCTCATATGTAACTGAATGAAACGTTGCCTCACCCTGTGCTATTTTCCAAAACCACTCCCTTTGAATAGATTCTGACTCTTATCAGTCCTCTGTCTGGTTTCCAAGGTTGTGAGTGTCTATGGAAAGAGACAGCTTAGCTTACTCCTGCAGGATCCGAATCCCTAATGTGCGACATCACCAGAGCTCCTCAGTACCATTTTAGGAAGTGATAGATAATACATAAGAAGCTCTAATGGCCTAATAGTAAGAATCAGAGCTGCAATCCCAAAGGTACACAGTTCAAATCCACCGACTGCTGTGCTGGGGAAGGATGGGCAATCTCCTGTGAGATTAAGTGCTTCTGAAAACACGCTGGAGGCTCAGCTAAGGATTGGTTTCAACTCGATGGCACACACAGCAGCAACAACAACAGATGACACGTTGAACAGTCCTGATAATCTCAGTGCCAATGACTCACAACGAGCTCGTAGAACAGAGTAGAACTGCCCCAGAGGGTCTCCAAGACTGCAGATCTTTGCAGAAGCAACCAGCTTCATATGTCTCCTGCAGAGTGTCCGGTGGGCTTCAGATTACCAACCTCTTGGTTGATGCATAACTGCTGTGCCACCTGACACCTATTAGCGGGTCAAAACCCATCACAGTATTTCCCCGAGACAGACGAGAAAAGTTGCTGGAAGCAGCCCAGAGGGAGATCAATGGTTTCTTCCAACAGCCTCGCTCCACAGTGCTTGTCCCTGGCCCCAGACTGCCCTTTCTGCTCCGTCACCCTTCAATCTTTCCCCTAATTGCGCACCCTTGGGGCCTCCATCCATCTGTGATGACTCAGGAGCTAGCCCTCTCTAAACTCCACTCCGGTGATTTTCCATTTAGTGACTTCTTATAAAGTACCCCCATTTATACAGGAAAATTTATACACAACCAACCGGTCCAGATAGTTTTCCACTTGACTTGTATAAAAACTCTGACTGGACACAGTCAAATGCTATCTGGTCCCAAATGATGTTGTTGTTGTTGTTGTTGTTGTTAGGTGCCGTCGAGTCATTTGCGACTCATAGCGACCCTATGTACAACAGCCCTAAACCCTACTCTATCCTGTGCCAATCGCATTGCCTCTGACACATCCATCCCGATTACCCCAGTCACTGAATCAATCCACCTCATAGAGGGTCTTCCCCTCCTGCGCTGTCCCTCTACTCTGCCCAGCATGATGTTCCTCTCCAAAGACCTGTCTCTCTTTGCAACATGTCCAAAGTATGTCAGATGAAGACCCAGAATATTTG